ACGGTGCTCGCACCGATACGTGCCAAGTGGCAAAGACAATCGTAGGTCTAATTTGCCTTCGTTTCAATATACTCTTGTAGCATTAGTACAGGTTGACGGGAATACGTCCGCAGTATCATTCTCAGCACAACATGGTACTGTCCACATTCCATCTTCGTGAGCCACTCGAATTGGTAGCGCTTGGCAAACCGAAATGTCCGTAGCCAGTAATCCATTGGCCAAATGTTACATATTTAGAATTGGTTTCGAGGTATCTTTGTCGTACTCAGACCTTTGCATACTGGTACAAAGTGACTAGTAAAATAACCTCCTTCACTCGCTTGCCTGGCTGTCGATGCACAGGCGGTGGTACGATGTGCCTCTTCCAAATGATGCACGCCCTGCGCCACGACGCCTGGCTTCGTGACCACCTCGTCCCGGCTTGCGCCATCCATACGCCTCGCCTTCAACACGGCTAAGCCTCGCCGCTGCTGCCGTCTAGCACAACACGCTCTGAATCGAAAGTCCACCCCCAAAAACAGTTCAGTGTAAATTATATCTAAATAGACTCACTTCAACAACAACAGGCGATGGTACGGGGACTCGTCTATGTGCAGGACGATACTTCCACGCTATGCACGATGGAGGTAGTTCGGAATTAGTGTCGTCGATCTCCATTGCCAGGTCTGATTTCGCAATGCGATGGCTGCTGCTCCTGATTGATTTTTTTAAGGTTGTGAGATGCAGATGATACGTTTACTCGCCCCCATAACGGTACTCCTCAACACGGCAAGTTTCGGCCCGAATCAGACTCATTAAATTTTCACCTTCAGGTCTCAGACACTATTAATACACCCACGATGTGTCTTTTGATCGGGTATCCATGACGAAACACAACATACGTTACCCAGTACCACCTCGTGTCACCAACGCTAACTTCATACTCCAGAGCATACTTGGTAGGTCCGAATCAAATAGCTACTCTGGTGACAAGCTGCTACTACAATACTGCGGACGTATTCCCGCCAACCTGTACTAATGCTACAAGAGTATATTGAAACGAAGGCAAATTAGACCTACGATTGTCTTTGCCACTTGGCACGTATCGGTGCGAGCACCGTTTGAGCACCGAGTGCTGCTACAAAAATTGTTTCGTGCGCCGAGATCCGATTGGAGTACGCTCTTGGGTACCCTTCTAACACCGGTACCCTTCTATTATCTGATTTAGTTGTCC